TCGGTTAGGCCAGTGTTTTTGTCAAGCTTGGCCAGTGTGTTGTGATTCCTCACCAGCCAGTGGACCCGGCAGCTGAGTCTGAGGAATCAGGAGGAGGAGGAGGGGCCTGTAGTGACATTAGAGCAGACATGTCCAAAGTCCGGCCCGCGGGCCATTTGCGGCCCGCGGCCCGGTTTAATCCGGCCCTCGAGCAGCCCTCCCTGCTCTATATAAATGCGGCCCTCCCACGGCCCTCCGGCAAGTCCCATGAGAGAGAGAGAGAGAGAGAGAGAGGCACTTGCACTTGCACTTCTGTCTCTCTCTCTCTCTCTCTCNCTTTAAAGCGCTCCGTGGCAATGGACCTAGGTATTTGCAAGACCGCCTCCTACCAAACACCTCCCTTCGACCAGTCCGCTCCCACAGAGAGGGCCTCCTTAGGGTGCCGTCGGCCAGACAATGCCGGCTGGCGACCCCCAGGGGGAGAGCCTTCTCTGTGGCAGCTCCTGCCCTCTGGAATGACCTACCCCCCGACCTAAGTACAGTTGCGGACCTGCGCCTTTTTCGCCGAGCCCTGAAGGCTCATCTATTCCGTGCGGCCGGCCTGGCGTAGTTTGATTATGTTTTAGTGGGGGTTTTGTATGGGGTATTTTTAGAGCAGGCCTGTTATTTAATTTGATTTTAGACAGAAATTTGTGTATATTTATTGTGGTTTTTATTATCGCATGTTCACCGCCCTGAGTCCCGTAAGGGAGATAGGGCGGTATATAAATTCAATAAAAAAAAAAATTTAGGCTGATGCCAAACTCAGTACACAAGTGGACACATCTCTAACTAGGGAACATCCCTCTCAAGGCTCTTCCAGTCTGGCTTATACAAGGGAACCAGTGCCCAGATTCAGGATTGAATACTGAACCCTGGTAGGCAGGACCTTGCTCAAGAGAGGCCCCACACTCCCTAGGTCAGTGGTTCTCAACCTTTTTAATGCCGCGACCCCCAACCGGTCATAAGTCGAGGACTAAACCGGTTGTAAGTCGAGGACTAAACCGGCCGTAAGTCGAGGACTAAACCGGTCGTAAGTCGAGGACTACCCAACCGGTCGTAAGTCGAGGACTTTCCCTGCCCGGGAGTGCCGCGCATGCGTGGTTCCGCCCCCTGCGCCGGCCGAGGCGTAGCTGGCAAGCGGCAGAGACGGAGCAGGCTGACCACCAGCTGGCCCAGCCCAAGGGAGGTAAGGCACCCGCTGGAAAAGGGAGAAAAAAATGGCGGACAGCCTTGCTTGGCGACCCCCGTGAAATGGTCGATCGACCCCAAATGGGGTCGCGACCCATAGGTTGAGAACCGCTGCCCTAGGTGCAGCCTTTAGTTCAGATTCTGGCTAATGTCTTCTATGGTATGGAAACAAATATTTTGTTTTTTATCGGCCGAAAGCGTTAAAAAAACCCCCCACTCCTTTATGTAAAAAGGGAGGCTATGCAGTTTTCCCATTTTTCTTTCAACAAATTTCCTTCTTCCATAACATCAGTTTAGCCAAAGGGTTAAGGCACCAGACTAGAAACTGGGTGACTGTGACAACTAGTTCTGCCTTAAGCATGAATGCTGGCTGGGTGACTTTGGGCCCTGTCCAGTGATGGCAAACCTTTTAGAGACCGAGTGCCCAAACTGCAACCCAAAACCCACTTATGCATCGTCGGGTGCCGGGTGGGTGTGGCCCATTGGCTGGGTGTGGCCCATTGGGTTTGCACGGCTGCGGTGGTAACGGCAGACTGGGTGGGACTAAAAAGTTCAATCAATCAATTCCAACTTTGCAAGATCTTTTTTTTCCCATGAGAAGTTGAAATTGACTGATTGATTGGACCTTTTTTTTTTTTTTTTTGCACACCCGGCGGAGGCCTAAAGCGAAAAGGTTTTATAAAATCCAGTGGAAGGCCTAGGACTGGGGCGACGGCGCGAGTGCCCACAGAGAGGGCTCTGAGTGCCACCTCTGGCACCCGTGCCATAGGTTCACCACCACTGGGCCAGTCTCTCTCAGCCCACAGCAAGTCACAGGGTTGTAGTTGTGGGGAAAATAGCAGGAGGAAGGAATAGTAAGTATGTCTGCTGCCTTGAGTTATTTACCAAAAATAATAAAGGCATAAATAAGTGATGTTTTCTTAATAAAAAATAACATCTAAGCCCCCCCCACCCCATGACTTCCCTATGTTTCCGAGTACAGACAGGGATTCTTACCCAGAGAAGCCAGATTCCTGGAATTCTCTAGCATGACTTCTCTGTGGAGAGCTTTTTGGGCAGGGTCCAGTTGAGACCATTCCTCCTTGGAGAAATACACGGCCACTTCCTCAAAAGACACAACATCCTGAACAAAGAAGCAAGATTCCTTATTAACAGATAATCCCAAGAATAATTAGACATTTTTTTCCCCCATCGATTCACGGAGAGAGATCCAATGAACAAAAGGGGCATCTTCTGCAGAGACCAGAATGAGATCTCACAGCTTCTGGCTGACAGCACAACTGAAGCACGTTGGATCAAGTTGGAAGGAAACTTGGAATTCCTTTTAGAGAAGCCAACTATTAATGGATAGTTGGGTATTAAACCCACTCCTTGTCATTGGCTCCAATTCTTTCTAGCTGGACAGAAGGAAAGATAGGAAATTCATCTAGTGTTTTTTTGCCAATGGCCTGCTTTATCCACTGAGGGATCAACCCTTCCCCCCTACTCCAAACCTTCATGAAAGTGGTGGGAGAGCTTGTAATGGTATGTGAGAATGACCCTGGGAGACAGGAAGATCTCCGGTTAAGACAATATCTGGTCAATGAAATCTGAGCCTGAAGCAGGACGGTGGAGAACGGACAGGTAGGTTAAGCGGAGTGTGAATTTCAACCAATCAGAATAGAGCTGGGAAGGACCTTGGATGTCTTCTAGTCCAAGCCCCTGCTCAACCAGGAGACCCTATACCAGTGATGGCGAACCTTTTAGAGACTGAGTGCCCAAAAACTGGCCCCGCCCCAGATCCACCCCCTGCCCCGCCCCGCTTGCTCGCAGGGCCACTCACCGCCTCCAGGGCTCACTGCAGATCACCCAGGCAGCCCAGCAATGCCATGGTGGCCACGCCCTCTGCCCGCGTCCCGCAGAATCAACTGTGCGTGATGGGGCGTGAGGGCAGAGTCTTGTCTATGCTGCCTGACTGCCATGTCCTTGGCTGCGCTGCTCCGCATGGGCCACATTCAGGGGCGACTCTCCTCCTGGGAGGCTGCTGGTGAGGAGGGGTCACGGGGAGAGGCAAGGCTGGGGCAATGGCACGTGTGCCCACAGAGAGGGCTCTAAGTGCCGCCTCTGGCACCTGTGCCATTTCACCACCACTGCACTATGTGTTCGGTTAGGCCAGTGTTTTTGTCAAGCTTGGCCAGTGTGTTGTGATTCCTCACCAGCCAGTGGACCCGGCAGCTGAGTCTGAGGAATCAGGAGGAGGAGGAGGGGCCTGTAGTGACATTAGAGTCAGAGGAAGGCTCGGAGGAGCTCCAAGACTTACAGTCGGACGAGGAGCCTGGCCCCTCTACTGGCGCTCAGGCTGAGACACAGCTGTGCTGGGAGTCTGAGTTGGACAGTGATGAAGAACAGTTGGGACAAATCCAGGATGCATGAAAGCGCAGGCAAGAGAAGCGAGTAGGACAGAGGAATGCAATGGGGCGGCTCCAAAGGCAAAGGAGAAGGCATTAGGAAGCCACGCCTTGGCTGAATTATAAAAGGGAAGGTGTGGGAGGTGCTGGTTGCCAAAGGCAACCATTCATGTTGTGGATCGAGTTTCTGTGGACTGTGTTTGTTTGCCTTGGACATTGACTGAGGTCTGTGAATAATAAAAGGGGATTGGTTTTTTTCTTGGGGTTCCTGCCTGTTTCTTGGAAGAGGGGTTTCTTGTGAGCATAACAAGGACTCCTGTAGGCTGGGACAGAACACAGTGTAAGTTCCTGGAGTTTAGGACTACACATCTTCATTTGGACAATTTTGAAGAATATGGGATTACGCTAAATATGAAATGTATTTCTAGGATATGCCTGAATCAAAGCATCGTAGCAAAGCATAGGTGGTTTTTTCACATTCGTTCTATATGCTTTGGATGGTGGTTTGTTAATTCTGGCTTCTAGAGTGTTCCCCTAAGGGTTTGGGCTAGGAGGTTAATGGGGTTCTGCTAGTTAAAGCTTTACTACAACTTCAAATGTTGTTTTCCTTATTAAATCGATTTAGATAGCCACTCATCTCAGTTGCTGTTTTTCATGTCAGACATTTTGATTTGGATTGTGCTGAGATAGTTTTGAATTTTATAAGCAGCCATTAAAATCATTTCAATACATCATGAGCAAATAGAAATCCAAAACATATTTTAATATATTTATCCAATACTCTAAGTACTTCATAGGTAAGTCAGTTTTACTAATTAGATTCCTGCCTTCTTCCCAGACATTGAGGGTTCATATGAATTTCCGATTCTTATTTTTATTTTTTATTTTTATTTTTGAAGAGGACGAGGATGCTCAGTTACTCATCCTATTGAAAATCTTATGTTTTCTATTTCAGATATGTAAGCTGAATTCTTTCCTGTTTCATCTACAAGGTGAAATATCTTGCGAGGTTAGGGGGATAAAGGTCTTTGGGTGGGGTTGTGATTGGTAAGACTTGGGGACATCAGTCATTTTGCAGCTGGATTAGAGACCAGAGAGAAGATGGAGGGACAACACCCAGCAGATGCAGGAGTTGGAAAAGGCCCTCCAGCTGCTCAGTCTTGGAGCTGTGGGAAGAATGGGGCAAGTCCTGGGAAGAAGAGCCAAGAGGAGGAAGCCAAGAGTTCAGAGGTCCAATGCTGTCACTTCAGAAAAGTGCAGTTCCAGGAGGGGAGGGGACCCCGAGATGTTTGCAGTCAGCTTCACCACCTTTGTCATCAGTGGCTGCAGCCAGAAAGACACACAAAGGCCCAGTTGCTGGACCTGGTGCTCCTGGAGCAGTTCCTGACTGTCCTTCCCCCAGAGATGGAGAAATGGGTGCGCGAGTGTGGAGTGGAGACCAGTTCCCAGGCGGTGGCCCTGGCCGAAGGCTTCTTGCTGACCCAGGAGGAGGAAAAGATGCAAGGAGATTTGCAGGTGTGAGAATGTAATCGTGGCAGCTCTAAAGAGAATCTTTCTGAATTTGTCAATTCCTCTCTGGCAGAATTTTCTGGGATTATGACCCCCTAAGGACAGTTGTTTCATTCTTCTTCCAGAGGATGAATTTGGGGCAATTTTTCCATTCTTGCTTTCCAGCTTAACCCATGGGCATTGGGGTCTACTAGGTTGAGGGTTCAATACTGATAATTCATTTCTATCTCTGTCCTCTTCCCTTCTTTCTCGTGCCATATGATATATAGAAATCCTTGGAAGCTGTGTCTGAGTATCCTAAAGGGAGGAAAAATTCATCCAAACCCTCTCAAAAGCTGCAGTTTGGAAAGAGCTTCCAGAAAGATCAAAGTCTTACCATGTCAGGTAACAAAATCTCTTTCCATGTTGATGTGAGGTTTGTATCTCTGATTCTTTCGCTCCTCTTGATTGTAATCTCTCTATATGCTTCCACCATTTTCTGTCTCACAGAAATATGCTTCCACCATTTTCTGTCTCACAGAATATAAGAACTATCCTTATGTTGTTGTTGGTTTTTTTTTAGAATCGCCTCCTCTTTCTGGTGGAGCTGAAAGAGTGCTTGAACCTCTGCCTCAGGTAGGAGGAGAAACATTGATATATATCCATGAATCTTGGAGGGGGTTTTTTTTGTTCTCAAGTTTAATGTCTAATATTGCTGTTTCTAAGCAAGACAACCTTTAGATCAGGTCACTGAAAATTAAAAGATAATTTGATAATGAAAAGGGTACAGAGAAGAGCAACAAAGATGATCAGGGGACTGGAGGCTAAAACATATAAGGAACGATTGCTGGAATTGGGTATGTCTAGTTTAATGAAGAGAAGGACGAAGGGGGACATGATAGCAGTGTTCCAGTATCTCAAGGGCTGCCCCAAAGAAGAGGGAGTCAAGCTGTTCTCCAAAGCGCCTGAAGGCAGGACAAGAAGCAATGGATGGAAACTAACCAAAGAGAGAAGCAACCTAGAACTAAGGAGAAACTTCCTGACAGTTAGAACAATTAGCCAGTGGAACAACCTGCCTCCAGAAGCGGTGAATGCTCCAACACCAGAGGTTTTTAAGAAGAGACTGGACAGCCATTTGTCCGAAATGGTATAGGGTTACCTGCCTGAGCAGGGGTTTGGACTTGATGACCTCCAAGGTCCCTTCCAACTTTATTATTATTATTATTATTATTATTATTATTATTATTATTATTATTATTATTATTATTATTATAATATAATTAAACAGATCTGCAAACATCTAGAAACAAATAAAGTAATTACTAGGGTTTGTTAAAAACAAATCATGCCAAGCCAATCTTGTTTCATTGTTTGACAAAGTGACTAAATTAGTAGACCCAACAAAATACTGTGGACATAATATACTTAGTTTTCAGTAAGGCATTCGGCAATGTAGACCACAACCAACTTCTTGGTAAGCTAGAAAAATGTGGGATAGACAGCATCACTACCAGATGGATTTGTAAGTGGCTGACAAACCGTACTCAATGAGTACTTTTTAATGGAGGGAAGTAAGCAGTGGTATAGCACAGGGTTCTGTTTTAGGCCCACTGCTCTTCAATATCTTTATAAATGACTTAGATGAAGGAGTAGAAGGGGAACTCATCAAATTTGCAGATGACACTAAGCTAGCAGGAACAGCCAACAACCCAGAACACAGGTCGGCAACCTGTGGTTCCGGAGCTGCATGCGGCTCTTTGAGCCTTCCCCTGCGGCTCCTAGCCTCCTCTGCCATTTGCAGAGAAAGACAGAGCTTCTCTTTCTCTCTCTCTCTCTCTCTCTCTGTCTCTGTCTCTGTCTCTGTCTCTCTGTCTCTGTCTCTCTCTCTCTCTCTCTCTCTCTCTCTCTCACTGAAGCAGTAGGTGTGAGCTTAAATGGACTCCAGAAGATGGTAGAGGACCTGGAGGAACGTTGTCCATGGGGTTGCGATGGGTCGGATACGACTTCGCAATTAACAACAACATTAGTACAGCTTTATACAGCCTTAGTAAGACCACATCTGGAATACAGCATCCCGTTTTGGTCACCACATTAAAGGCTTTGGAGAAAGTGTAAAGAAGAAGAACTAAGATGATTAAAGGCCTGGAGACTAAAACATAGGATGAACGGTTACAGGATTTGAGTTTGGATAGTCTAGAGAAAAGAAGGACTGGGGGAGGATATGATAGCAGTATTCCAGTATTTGAGGGGCTGCCACAAAGAAGAGGGGGGTCAACTTACTTTCCAAAGCACCAGAAAGCAAAACAAGAAACAATGAAAACTAAACAAGGGCAGAAGCAACCTGGAATTAAAGAGAAACTTCCTAAAAAAAACCAGTGGAGCAGCTTCTCTTTAGAAGTTGTGGGTGCTTCATCCCTGGAGTTTTTAAAGAAAAGACTGGACAGCCACTTGTCTAAAATGGTATAGGGCAGTGGTGGCGAACCTATGGCACGGGTGACAGAGGCGGCACTCGGAGCCCTCTCTGGGCACACGTGCCGTTACCCCAGCCTTGCCTCCCCCAAGACCCCCTCCTCTCCAGCAGCCCCCCTGAAGGAGAGTCGCCCCCGAGCGTGGCCCACACGGAGCAGCACAGCCAACATTTGAAGTTGTAGTAAAGCTTTAACTAGCAGAACCCCATTAACCTCCTAGCCCAAACCCTTAGGGGAACACTCTAGAAGCCAGAATTAACAAACCACCATCCAAAGCATATAGAACGAATGTGAAAAAACCACCTATGCTTTGCTACGATGCTTTGATTCAGGCATATCCTAGAAATACATTTCATATTTAGCGTAATCCCATATTCTTCAAAATTGTCCAAATGAAGATGTGTAGTCCTAAACTCCAGGAACTTACACTGTGTTCTGTCCCAGCCTACAGGAGTCCTTGTTATGCTCACAAGAAACCCCTCTTCCAAGAAACAGGCAGGAACCCCAAGAAAAAAACCAATCCCCTTTTATTATTCACAGACCTCAGTCAATGTCCAAGGCAAACAAACACAGTCCACAGAAACTCGATCCACAACATGAATGGTTGCCTTTGGCAACCAGCACCTCCCACACCTTCCCTTTTATAATTCAGCCAAGGCGTGGCTTCCTAATGCCTTCTCCTTTGCCTTTGGAGCCGCCCCATTGCATTCCTCTGTCCTACTCGCTTCTCTTGCCTGCGCTTTCATGCATCCTGGATTTGTCCCAACTGTTCTTCATCACTGTCCAACTCAGACTCCCAGCACAGCTGTGTCTCAGCCTGAGCGCCAGTAGAGGGGCCAGGCTCCTCGTCCGACTGTAAGTCTTGGAGCTCCTCCGAGCCTTCCTCTGACTCTAATGTCACTACAGGCCCCTCCTCCTCCTCCTGATTCCTCAGACTCAGCTGCCGGGTCCACTGGCTGGTGAGGAATCACAACACACTGGCCAAGCTTGACAAAAACACTGGCCTAACCGAACACATAGTGCAGTGGTGGTGAAATGGCACAGGTGCCAGAGGCGGCACTTAGAGCCCTCTCTGTGGGCACACGTGCCATTGCCCCAGCCTTGCCTCTCCCCGTGACCCCTCCTCACCAGCAGCCTCCCAGGAGGAGAGTCGCCCCTGAATGTGGCCCATGCGGAGCAGCGCAGCCAAGGACATGGCAGTCAGGCAGCATAGACAAGACTCTGCCCTCACGCCCCATCACGCACAGTTGATTCTGCGGGACGCGGGCAGAGGGCGTGGCCACCATGGCATTGCTGGGCTGCCTGGGTGATCTGCAGTGAGCCCTGGAGGCGGTGAGTGGCCCTGCGAGCAAGCGGGGCGGGGCAGGGGGTGGATCTGGGGCGGGGCCAGTTTTTGGGCACTCAGTCTCTAAAAGGTTCGCCATCACTGGTATAGGGTCTCCTGGTTGAGCAGGGGCTTGGACTAGAAGACATCCAAGGTCCTTCCCAGCTCTATTCTGATTGGTTGAAATTCACACTCCGCTTAACCTACCTGTCCGTTCTCCACCGTCCTGCTTCAGGCTCAGATTTCATTGACCAGATATTGTCTTAACCGGAGATCTTCCTGTCTCCCAGGGTCATTCTCACATACCATTACAAGCTCTCCCACCACTTTCATGAAGGTTTGGAGTAGGGGGGAAGGGTTGATCCCTCAGTGGATAAAGCAGGCCATTGGCAAAAAAACACTAGATGAATTTCCTATCTTTCCTTCTGTCCAGCTAGAAAGAATTGGAGCCAATGACAAGGAGTGGGTTTAATACCCAACTATCCATTAATAGTTGGCTTCTCTAAAAGGAATTCCAAGTTTCCTTCCAACTTGATCCAACGTGCTTCAGTTGTGCTGTCAGCCAGAAGCTGTGAGATCTCATTCTGGTCTCTGCAGAAGATGCCCCTTTTGTTCATTGGATCTCTCTCCGTGAATCGATGGGGGAAAAAAATGTCTAATTATTCTTGGGATTATCTGTTAATAAGGAATCTTGCTTCTTTGTTCAGGATGTTGTGTCTTTTGAGGAAGTGGCCGTGTATTTCTCCAAGGAGGAATGGTCTCAACTGGACCCTGCCCAAAAAGCTCTCCACAGAGAAGTCATGCTAGAGAATTCCAGGAATCTGGCTTCTCTGGGTAAGAATCCCTGTCTGTACTCGGAAACATAGGGAAGTCATGGGGTGGGGGGGGCTTAGATGTTATTTTTTATTAAGAAAACATCACTTATTTATGCCTTTATTATTTTTGGTAAATAACTCAAGGCAGCAGACATACTTACTATTCCTTCCTCCTGCTATTTTCCCCACAACTACAACCCTGTGACTTGCTGTGGGCTGAGAGAGACTGGCCCAGTGGTGGTGAACCTATGGCACGGGTGCCAGAGGTGGCACTCAGAGCCCTCTCTGTGGGCACTCGCGCCGTCGCCCCAGTCCTAGGCCTTCCACTGGATTTTATAAAACCTTTTCGCTTTAGGCCTCCGCCGGGTGTGCAAAAAAAAAAAAAAAAAGGTCCAATCAATCAGTCAATTTCAACTTCTCATGGGAAAAAAAAGATCTTGCAAAGTTGGAATTGATTGATTGAACTTTTTAGTCCCACCCAGTCTGCCGTTACCACCGCAGCCGTGCAAACCCAATGGGCCACACCCAGCCAATGGGCCACACCCACCCGGCACCCGACGATGCATAAGTGGGTTTTGGGTTGCAGTTTGGGCACTCGGTCTCTAAAAGGTTTGCCATCACTGGACAGGGCCCAAAGTCACCCAGCCAGCATTCATGCTTAAGGCAGAACTAGTTGTCACAGTCACCCAGTTTCTAGTCTGGTGCCTTAACCCTTTGGCTAAACTGATGTTATGGAAGAAGGAAATTTGTTGAAAGAAAAATGGGAAAACTGCATAGCCTCCCTTTTTACATAAAGGAGTGGGGGGTTTTTTTAACGCTTTCGGCCGATAAAAAACAAAATATTTGTTTCCATACCATAGAAGACATTAGCCAGAATCTGAACTAAAGGCTGCACCTAGGGCAGCGGTTCTCAACCTATGGGTCGCGACCCCATTTGGGGTCGATCGACCATTTCACGGGGGTCGCCAAGCAAGGCTGTCCGCCATTTTTTTCTCCCTTTTCCAGCGGGTGCCTTACCTCCCTTGGGCTGGGCCAGCTGGTGGTCAGCCTGCTCCGTCTCTGCCGCTTGCCAGCTACGCCTCGGCCGGCGCAGGGGGCGGAACCACGCATGCGCGGCACTCCCGGGCAGGGAAAGTCCTCGACTTACGACCGGTTGGGTAGTCCTCGACTTACGACCGGTTTAGTCCTCGACTTACGGCCGGTTTAGTCCTCGACTTACAACCGGTTTAGTCCTCGACTTATGACCGGTTGGGGGTCGCGGCATTAAAAAGGTTGAGAACCACTGACCTAGGGAGTGTGGGGCCTCTCTTGAGCAAGGTCCTGCCTACCAGGGTTCAGTATTCAATCCTGAATCTGGGCACTGGTTCCCTTGTATAAGCCAGACTGGAAGAGCCTTGAGAGGGATGTTCCCTAGTTAGAGATGTGTCCACTTGTGTACTGAGTTTGGCATCAGCCTAAATTTTTTTTTTTATTGAATTTATATACCGCCCTATCTCCCTTACGGGACTCAGGGCGGTGAACATGCGATAATAAAAACCACAATAAATATACACAAATTTCTGTCTAAAATCAAATTAAATAACAGGCCTGCTCTAAAAATACCCCATACAAAACCCCCACTAAAACATAATCAAACTACGCCAGGCCGGCCGCACGGAATAGATGAGCCTTCAGGGCTCGGCGAAAAAGGCGCAGGTCCGCAACTGTACTTAGGTCGGGGGGTAGGTCATTCCAGAGGGCAGGAGCTGCCACAGAGAAGGCTCTCCCCCTGGGGGTCGCCAGCCGGCATTGTCTGGCCGACGGCACCCTAAGGAGGCCCTCTCTGTGGGAGCGGACTGGTCGAAGGGAGGTGTTTGGTAGGAGGCGGTCTTGCAAATACCTAGGTCCATTGCCACGGAGCGCTTTAAAGGTTGTTACTAACACCTTGAAGCGCACCCGGAAGGCCACAGGCAGCCAGTGCAGCTCGCGCAGGAGAGGTGTTACATGGGAGTATCTAGAGGCCCCCAGGATCCCCCGTGTGGCCGCATTCTGAACTAGCTGGAGCCTCCGGGTGCACCTCAAGGGGGTGGGGAGCTATTGCCATCCAGAAATTCCCCTTGGCTTTGAAAGATTCTGTTCTGCAGACAAGTGGAGATCAGACTTTTCACTGAAGTTGGGGAGCTGGTGGGTATGTTGCTGACCCAGCACGATACAGTGTTCGGTGCACTTGGGGTGTTTGTGGAACCATGGAGTTGTCCCAGGTCATCAACAGTCTCACACACACTTGTTGCTCAAAGATTAGATCAGGGCATTGTCTTAGGTTTGTTGTGATGTCATCCATTTCTGATACATAATGATTGGTAGGAGCTCACTTGGAAATGGGTCTTTAGAACCTTTGTGTTTGCCCACAAAACAGCCAAAATATATTAATGAGTCTTTTGCTAAGTTTCAGACAAAAAAGGTTTGATTGTTTCCCTAATTCTTGCTACAGTTTACATGTTTCCTTTTTCAAGGACATAATGGGCAAGAGAACAAGAATCACAAGGAACAACGCCACACAATTCGTGAGAAAGAGGGGGAAGAGAAGCTTGCAGATCAGATGGAACTGAAGAGCGAAGAGATGAACCGACCACAAATGGGAATTAAAAAAGGGTTTCCTCAGGTCACGTGGCTAACTAACCAGAGAAGCATCAATACAAGAGAAAGACCATATAAATGTGTAGAATGTGGAAAGGGCTTTAGCAGGAATAGTAACCTTACTGCCCATAAAAAGATCCACACAGGGGAGAAACCATATCAGTGCAGAGAGTGTGGCAAGAACTTCAGAATGAGTAGCACTCTAAGTATCCATAAAAGGATCCACACAGGGGAGAAGCCATATCAATGCAAGGAGTGTGGAAAAAGCTTTGCTTATAACAGTCAGTGGAATTATCACAAGTGGATACACAAAGGAGAGAAGCCTTATCAATGCATGGAGTGTGGAAAGAGCTTTAGGAGGAAGAATGATCTTGCCTCCCATATAAAGATCCACACAGGAGAGAAGCCATATCAATGCATGGAGTGTGGAAAGGGTTTTAGCAAGAGAGGTAATCTTTCGTCCCACAGAAGGGTCCATACAGGTGAAAAGCCATATCAGTGTAGTGAATGTG